AACCTAGGGACACAGAGAACAGTGATGTGGTAGAATACCAAAACTGATGGGATATTGCATTAAAAAAGATTAGTATTTGATAAACTAATACAAAGTGAAAAGGATAGGAAATATTATTTAATGTATTGAAAAATTGCTTAAAATATGGCAAGAAATGGATTTAGAACCCTATTTCACACTATACATATTAATTAACTCGAGCTCATTGGTAGGCTTAAACATTTTTAAAATCTCTATAAAGAAGATGGAATTAAAGTGGAATAAGGTATTAATTACAGAAGGAAGAGACTTGGTTTCTGTTTTAAATTAATTGATGGACTTATTAGAGATAAGATCAATGTACTTAATTATATTAAAATGAAATATCTAATGTACAAAAATTAAAATGTTAAATAAGGAAAATTATTTATGGCGTGGGAGACCTGTAACATCACTCTGAAGAACTGAAGTTGAGCCCAGCATGGTGGTATATGCTACTAGTTTGGCAGAGGCTAGTGAATTGTTTTGAGTTAGAAAGTTCTAAGCTGAAGTACTTCTAAAGTTAAATAGGTATCTGCATTAAGTCTGACACCAGTGTGATGAGCTTCAGGTAGTAGAAGGAGGGTGGACCAGCCTATTTGGGGGAAAAAAATTATTTTTTAAAAATTTTTTAAATTTTTTTTAGCCCCCCCAAAATGGGTTAAAGCTTCTGTGTCAGTCAATATTGGGATCAAGCCTATGAGTGGATACAGCACTTCCATCTTGGACAAGATAGGAGATGCAGTTTCAGGGTGGAAAAAAACAATAAGAATGAGCATCACACAGAAGGCAATGAAAAGGTGAATGTTGGATGTGAACAGGCTGCATATAACCAATGAAGAACAGCAAAAAAGTGCAGAACTAAAGGGTGCCATCAAAGAAATATGTGCCAGAAAGAGAATATGGGCTTTTGCCAATATGGGGCAAGAACACAGGATGCCAAGTAGATGTTCAGAGTGCTTCACTGATATACCCATCATGTAGGGAGAAAGTGAATGCCTCCAGAATGCTGGGTAGACCTGCTTTGGTGAACTTTTGGAAGAATATAGACAGGAGTCTGGCGGTATTAGCAGACATGGATGATCTGTATTTCTGATCTGTATTGTTGAAAAGATATCCTGAATCAATGAGATAACAGATCCATTTGAGTTTGACAGATAAAAATTTGACATCTAAAATAGCTAAGGGAATGTCAAAAAATTGCAAATGGATTCTAGTAACTTATAGCTAAATAGCCAAGGGATATAAACAGTTTATGAAAGAAGAAGAAAACACATTTAGTTAATTACTACTTGAGAAATGCTCTTCTTCACTAATAATCCAAGAAACTGAATTAAGAAAATTCTGAGGCATCCCTCCACACCCACTAAATTGGAAAAAATAATAAAAAGTCATGAGATCTATTGTCATTAAGGTTGTGGAGACACAGAAACATTTATTGATGATGTAATTTGCACTCTAGTAGAAACTTTTGGGGAAGCAATTTGGCAGTTTGTGGTAAAAATTACAAAAATAATCATACCTTTTGACTTATATCGTTGGGAATATAGAATTTATTAAAAGAAAAAAATCCAACTGTGCATTGATGCCTATAGCATCATATTTGTAAAAAAACAAGCAAACAAAAAACCTCTGAGCAACTTAAATGTCCAAGAAGAGGGGAATGGTTAAATAAAATTTGGTAATTTAGGGTAATGGAATGATGTAATGCAATTAAGCACTTACTGTAAGTCCTGAGGATACATATACAAACAATCCAGACATCTCCTGTACTCAAGGTGTTCATGTTCGAGTTGGGAAAGATAATACTTACAGGCAGTGGTGACCTCATGGTGAGTAGACTGCTCCTAGAACAGAAACTTCCTGTGCCAGTGTAGATCAGCAACTGGCCCATAATGTAATTCTAGAGAGGTGTTTGGTTCACTGAGTATTTAAATGACTTGCAAATGGTCACATAGCTAGTAGGAGTCAAAGATAAGACTCAGAATTCATATTCTGATTTTGAGATTGTACCTTTATCCAATATACCAAGCTACTCCTGTGTAACACTACCTATATTATCTGTAATAAGAATCAGAGATTTGTATCATAATTGTTTTGCAATAATGAAAAATTAATCTGTGGGGGGAGGCAAGGCAAATATCTCGATTTGATTAATAATTTTTTTGTTTATCTTCAGCTAATAACCATAGAGGAAATCAGTGAACTGGTTGTAAGCCTAGTAAATATTTGGTGATGGTCAGACTAGAAATAGTATCCAACAAGCATGAAAAATAATTGCGTTTAACTGATTGAAGACCATGACATCTAAGAAGCTGAAGGTATTTCTCAGGTCACACATCCCCATATTTAGCATAGAGAAGCCTTAGGGGAGGATATGATAGCTACCTTCAAGTATTTTAAGGACTATTAGATGAAAAGAATAAGTGGACTTGTTCTGCTTGAACCCAGGGGACAAAACTAGGAGTAGTGGATAGAAGTTGCAGAGCTGTAAATTTCAGGTTGATATAGTTAAAAAACAAAAACAAAAAACAAACTTAACACCCCCTCTACCACTCTAACCTTCAGTCTTTCTATAACTACAGATTTCTTTCCTTCTGACTACAAACATTCCTAGATCTTCCCTCTCCTTAAAAATCTCACTTGATTCTACCATCCTCTCAAGCTATCATCTTATGTCTTTCCTCTCTCTCAAAGCCAAACTCCTAGAAAGCACTGTCTACTTACATTTCCCCCACTTCTTTTCTCAGCCCATTGTAATCTGCCTTCCAAACTTATTACTTGATTGAAATTGCTCACTCCAAACTTACCAATGTTCTCTTAATTGCCAACTCTGATAGCCTTTTCTCAAAACTTATTCTTCATGACAGCTGTAATATTTGACACTGTTGACCACCTCCTCCTCCTAGATGGACGTTCTTTTCTATCTGTGACTCTGCCCTCTTGTGGATCTTTTCCTACTTGTCTATTTGTTCTTGGTCTCTTTTGCTAGGTCATCATCCATATCACTTCCCTAAGTGGGAGTGATATTCTGTAGCAGTTCTTCTCATTGATTCCCCTGGCTTTGATATGCAGATGACTCCCAGATCCAACCCCAGAGTTCACGTGAGCTCCAGTCCCACATCACCAACTCTTTATTTGACATTTCTAAGTAAATGTCTCACGGGCAGCTCAAATATGACATGTCCAAAACAGAACTTGACTCTTTCTACACCTTTACTAGAACCTTTACTAGAGAAACCTACTTCTTTACTAGAAGTAGGAAAGAAACTCCTGTTTCTTTCAAGGGTCTCACCATCCAGTCGTCCAGGTTTGCATCAGAATTATTCTTGACTTTTTACTCTCTACCATACCACATATCCAATTTGTTTCAAGATTTTGTCAATTTTACTTCACTGCATCACTTTGATCTCCTCACTGGTCACTATGGCCATCATACTAAAGTACCTAGTTATAGAGGAATTGTTAGTACTGTTAGTAATACCCATTCTTCTACTTCATTGACAAAACACAGAGTGGATTTCTCACCCTTCATTACCTGCCATTTTCCATTCTTGAGTACAAAGTACTGCCAGAGTGATTTCCCTAAAGCAGAAGTCTTACCATGTCACTCCCTTGCTCCATAAACTCCACTGGTTCCTCATTACCTCTAGGATCAAATACAAATTCTTGAGCATTTAAAGTCCTCCTCAATGTGGCTCCAGTTTACTGCTCTAGCCTTATTATATGTTATTCTCCTTTATGGCCTTCTTGCTGTTCGTCACATGTGACATCTCATCTCCCAAGTCTTTGAACAGGCTGTTCCTACACCTGTAATTTACTGTGTCCTTTGCTTCTTAGAATCTCCCCTTTTCTTTAAAGCTTACCTCAAGCTGCACATGAAACTTTTCCTGATCTCCCCAGCTATTAATGCCTTTCTCCTCAAAATTAACACATGTATGTATGTGTGTGTGTGTGTATATACATATGTGTATGTGTTTATTTTATTCTGTATGTTTCGTCTCCAATGAGGCACTTCCTTGAAGTAGTCAGGTGTACAGTAGATAGAACAGTGAACCTACTTCAGACACTTGCTACCTTTGTGACCCTAGGCAAGTCACTTAAACTTCTGTCTACTTCAGTTTCCTTAACTGTAAAACATGAATAATAATAGCACCTACCTCTCAGAGTTGTTGTGAGGATAAAATGGGATATTATTTATAAAGTGCTTAGCCAGTGCCTGGCAAATGGTACTTAAATGTTTATTGATTTCTAGCCTAACAAGGCTAGAAAGGAAGGAGATGGTTGGACTGCCAGATCTCTGAGGTCCTTTCCAGTCTTGAGATTCTAGTATTTGTGTGTCATTGAAGCTATACATCTTTTTCCAGTTACATGTATCATTGACATTGTTTTTCATGTGTTACTGCTGCATATGATGGTGACGATGATGCTCAGAGCATCCCTTTCACCATAAAAGTTTTTATGAGCATGGTCTTTCTCACCCTTTCGGTTCATTTATACAACTCTTCTCACCCTTCATGGGCAACCCCATCCACCTGAGCTGGCAACTCAGTTACCAAACTGTTCCAACAGGTACCCTGTGTGCCCTCAACCATCTAAGGTATGGCAACTACTCTTTCCAAAAATATGTGACTTTTACCACAACTGGACTAGTTGGCTGTGGGTTAAGTAGAAAAGGAAGGGTGAGAACTCTACCTTGTGCTTTGTTTATGAGGTGGAGGATTTACTCACTTTCTAACATAGTACAAATAACTTCTCCTACAAAGATATGGAGCCTGGGAGATTGTATTAATAGTCCCTAAATGATTGAAGCAGAAAATTAAATTTTTTTATAATATCCAAGGAGGTGGTAAAACAGGAAGCAGTCCTCATAATAGTAGCAATTAAATTGTTTTAGAAAGATTTTATATTAGTGTAGTTTGTAGATATTATTATTTATAACCACTAAAGCAATCTTTACTTTTATTTCTTTTCCCCATTAGGTTGTTCCATTTGGTTAATAGGGATGTTAATAAATATCTATTCTGATAATATCCTAAGAAACTTGAGGAAACCAGGAGAGACTGGGTACAAAATACCAAGAGGTAAGTAGAAATCCTGCTAGAATGAACTGTTAATGAATTTATTTTAGCATTGCACCAAAAATCATGTGAGATCCTGATAAGCATCCAACTTGAGTATAATATTAGCTGCCTAATGAGCTTTAAGGGTCGTGATCAACTACACCATTGAACCATTTAGGTAATGTTCTGTGTTTTTTGTGGGCAAATTAAGATTGTTTTAAAGACTTTTGGATTTCCATTTCCTTTAATCTGGTTATTATAGTGGTGTGTGTGTGTATTTTAAGTTCTTTGCTCTCAGTAAAAGAGGAATAATAATATCTGAACTACCTATTCAGAATCAAAGCAGAGATCAAGGAGTTGTGAGAAAAGTACTTTGTATAGCTCCATATACATATGAGATGTTATCATCAGATTCATTGTGCATTTGTGTTACACCAGTTCAGTTCTAGCCTCCCACTTTGTAGTCTAGGTAAAAAGGCAAGGGTGAGAGCGTTGCCTTATGCTTTGCTAATGAAGTGAAATGAGGGCATAAATAAGAATGGTATTCTTATTTGCTACTCAGTTATGCCATATAAAGTCATTCACAAAGCATTTTACAACTTCTCTAGGCAGCAGTGGGGTCCAAGGGAATGAAAACTTTTCCAAAGATACCTGTCCTTTGGGTACAGATCATCTCAAACCTGAACTAACCCTATCATACTGAAATAGCTGGTCCTTTTAAGTGCAGAACTCACTTTCTTCTCCCCTAAATCCATGGTCATACACTAAAAACTTCCTATTTCTGTCAAGGGTATCAGCATCATTCCAGTCACCTAGGTTTGAAAATCAAGTCATCCTCAAATCTTCTTTCTTCCTTACCCCTCAGATTTAATCAGTTATGCCTCCACAACTTCTCTTACAGCCGTGTCCTTCTCTCCACTCTCTCCGCTTCTACCCCAACTCTCATTACCTCTAACTTGGACTGTTCCATCAATCTATTAATTAAACTGGCTGCTGGCCTCACCCTTCTCCAATGCATCCTCCACATCACTTCCTCAAAAATCTCTGCTTTGGTGAAATTAGCAGAACCAGGAAAATGGCATACGTGATGACCATCATGGTGTGGATGTGCAGAATCAAAAAAGTAAACTGAACCCTGTAGTTGAAAGGGATTGAGAAAGTGCACTTTTCCTCCCTTTTACAGAGAGGACTAGTGCTTTGGAATATTGTTTTTATAGCCAAACATGTGGGAGATATTGGCTTATTTAGCAAAAAAAAAAATTTCTCAGATTTTTATTCAAGTTCACATTTTGTTCATATTTTAACTTTTCCTTTCTCAACATACAGTCTAGCATTGTATAAAAGGACATGCTAATAGACTATAAATTGAGAAAAGAAAACAATATTTTATACTAGTCTCACATCTTTATAAAGAAACTTGTAAGCACTTAAAAAACAACTGAAAGATCTTAGTTCCTAATTGCTTCTTCCCTACTCACAAAGAACTTACATTCTAATGGCAAGGACAAATATATATAAAAATATATACAGCATAAATATTAGTGAATAAATACAAATTTTTACAAAGTAGTTAACTACAAGGTAGTAACTACCAAAGGGGCAGCTAAGTGGCACAGTGGATAGAGTGCCAGGCCTGGAGTTAGGAAAACTCATCTTTCTGAGTTCAAATTTGGCCTCAGACATTTATTTGCTCTTCCTTGCATGCCTCATTTATGTGAGACAATATTTCCCATTCTACCTCTCCTTTCCCCCTTGTCCCAGTACATTACTCTTTCTTACTTCTTCATTTTTTTTTGAGATCATCCCAGTATAACTGATTCACATCTGTGCTCTCTGTCTATGTAGACTCCTAATGGTTATAATAATGATAAAATTTTTAGGAGTTCCATGTATCATCTTCCCATATAATAAGGTAAACAGTTTGAACTTATTAAATCTCTTGTGATTTCTCTTTCCTGTTTACCTTTTAATTTTTCTCTTGAGTCTTATGTTTGAATGTCAGATTTTTCTAGTCAGCTCTAGTCTTTTCATCATGAATGCTTGAAAATCCTCCATTTAATTAAATATCTATTTTTTCCTCTAAAAGATTAATACTTAGTTTTTCTGTGCAGATAATTCTTGGTTGTAATCCTATCTTCCTTTCTTTCTGCAATATTATCTTCCAAGCCCTCCGTTCCTTTAATGTGGAAGCTGCTAATTCTTGTGTGATCATGGTGTGGCTTTGCTATATTTAAATGGTTTCTTTCTGGCTGCTTGCAATATTTTCTCCTTGACCTTGGAGCTCTGGAATTTGGCTATAATACTCCTGGGAGTTTTCATTTGGAATCTGTTTCAGGAGGTGATAGCTGTATTCTTTCAATTTCTATTTTACCCTCTGGTTCTAGGATATCAGGGTAGTTTTCCTTGATAATTTCTTTAAAGATGATGTCTAGGTCCACATGTACAAAAATATTCATAGCAGGCTCTTTTTGTGGTGGCAAAGAATTGAAAATTGAGAGGATGCCCTTCAATTGGGGAATGGCTGAGCAAGTTGTGGTATATGAATGTAATGGAATACTATTGTGCTATAAGAAATGATGAACAGGTTGACTTCAGAAAAACCTGGAAAGACTTGTATGGTCTGATGCTGAGTGAAGTGAGCAGAAGCAAGAGACCTTTGTACACAATAACAGCCACGTTGTGTGATGACTAATATTGATAAACTTAATCCTTCTCAGCATTACAAGGATCTAAGACATCTCTAGAGGCCTCATGATGGAAAATGCTATCCACGTCCAAAGAAAAAACTATGGAAGTTGAATCGCTATCATTTTTTTTTCTCTTCTTTTGAGTTTTGTTTCCTCTTTCTGATGGTTCCTCCTATTGGTTTTAAATTTTACTTACAACTTCACTAATGTGAAAATATGTTTAATAGGAATGTAAATGTATAGTTTATATCAGATTGTGCACCATGGGAGAAAAATTTTAAACTCAAAAGCATATGGAAGTGATCGTTGATAAATCAAAATAAATTAATAAAATACAAAAAAAATTTTAAAATGAGATAAAAATTAAAAAAAAAAAGATCATGTCTAGGCCCTTTTTTTTGATGATGCCTTTTAGGTAGTCCAATAATTCTTAAGTTATCTCTCCTCAATCTATTTTCAAGTCAGTTTTTCTGATGAGATATTTCACATTTTCTTTTTTTTCTTCTTGTGTGTTTCTTGTTTTGGTTTGGTTTGGTTTGTTGTTTTTTTTTTTTTTTGTGAGGCAATTAGGGTTAAGTGACTTGCCCAGAGTCAGACAGCTAGGAAGTATTATGTGTCTGAGGCTGGATTTGAACTCAGGTCCTCCTGACTCCAGGGCTGGTGCTCTATCCACTGTGCCACCTAGCTGCCCCGATTTTATTATTTCTTGATGTCTCATAGACATTAGCCTCCACTTGCCCAATTCTAATTTTTAAAGAATTATTTTCTCCAGTGAGCTCTGGTACCTATATTTTCCCATTTTGCCAATTCTGCTTTTTATGGAATTCTTTTCTTCAGTGAATTTTTGTGCCTCTTTTTACCATTTGGCCAATTCTGTTTTTTAAGGTATTATTTTCTTCAGTATTATTTTGTGTCTCTTTTAGCAGGCTTTTAACTCTTTTTTCATAATTTTCTCGCATCATCATTCTCACTTCTTTTCCCAATTTTCCTTTTATCACTCATTTCTTTCTTTAGCGCTTCTAGAAATTCTTGTTGGGCTTGTGTCTAATTTGCATTTTTCTTTGAAGCTTTGCTTTTAGCTATTTTCATATTGTTGTCTTCTTCTGAATTTGTGTCTTAATCTTCCCTGTCACCATGGTAGCTTTTTATGGGTAGGTTCTTTTTCTCATTATTTGCTTATTTTTCCAACCTATTTCTTAACTTTGAATTTTATGTTAAAGTTGAGCCCTACTCACCCGTGGGTGAGGAAGTACTGTCCCAAGCATCAAGCTTTTTCATGCTGCTGTTTTCAGAACAATTCTGTAGGTCTGTGAGTTTTCATTGCTTACACCATGGTGTGATCTGAGGAGAGGTGTGATCACTGCTCTCCTCAATCTATACTCTGGTCTTAACACTGGAAGGGCACCTGTTCCCATGTAGCTGAAAGCACTAATGCTCCTCTCTACTCTGGAATGTCTCTAGGATTAGAGCTTCCAAAGTTGCCACTGCTGGTTTCACAACCACCTCCAAGGCCCGCCACTACAGTTGCTGCTGCATGTACTCCAGGCCGATCTCTCCCCCCATGTCATGGACCTCACCTTTCATTCTCCCAAGTTTTCTTGGGCTGGAGAAATGTCTTATCTTTTGTTGGCTCTACTGCTCCAGAATTCTATTTGATGCATTATTTTAAAGTTGTTTGGAGGAGAATTTTGAGAAAGTTCACTGGGTTTGGGTTACTGCCTCAACTCTGCTCTTTTGACTCTACCCTCATTTTCTGTTTTTATACTCAAAGTTATTTTCTGATATCCCAAATTAGAACACTTCCTTATAACAAATCTTTTTTTAAAAAACCTAAGTAAAGCCACTCAACACAATGATTAAATCTGACAGCATATACAACATAGTGAACCCATAGTCCCCATTTCTCTACCAAGAGAAAGAAAGGTTGTTTTATCATCTTTCTTTTGAGACCAAGACTCACATAATCAAAGTTAACATGTTTTTTTGTGTGTTGTCTACAGTACTGTATTCATTCAATCAGTTAGTTAATCAGCAAGCATTTATTAAGTGTCTACTGTGTGCCAGGCATTGTGCTAATCAATACATGTTGAAAGACAAAAATTAAAACAGTGCCATAAGGAGCTTGTATTCCACTATGGGGTTACAACACACATTGGGGAGTAGTGTCCAGCAAGAGGAACTTTGTTCTTTACTGTGAAAATGCCCCACAAAAGGGAGCTGCCTTTGGCATTTTGCTACAGACTCAACTATTGGGTAGTCCTTGTCAGTGATAGGGATTGCTAATGGAGCCTTTGCAGTGGTACTATTGACTTGATTATTTCTCCCTGTGCAAGGTGAAAAGTGTAGGGGGAAGGCAGTTAGCGAGTGGCAGGATAATGGGCAATATGCCCCCACTGTCTATGCCTAAGTCTTTTGATGGATGGCTAGATGAGATGAAGAATGGTATGGGGATCTGGGGCTGGTGAAACATAGGGAACTGAAGTGAGAATTAGCTTATCTTCTAATCCAGGCAACTCTACCTCAAGGAGGAGTGTGTATCATGAATCTCGTTTTCTTGGTTCTGCTTTTTTTTTTTAACTCTGCATCAGTTCATACACATTTTGTTATGTTTCTCTGAATTGCTCGTATTTCTCATTCTTAAAAAAATTTTCTCATTTTCTTTGATGCTATTTTTATATTGTGTTCATTTCCAAATAGATTGCTCCCTTCTCCCCTACTCTGCTTTCCATCCTTTGTAACAAGTATTATAAAAGAAAGAAAAAGAAATAGTTCAACAAAACTTACCAATATATGAACCGTATTTGATGATATGTATAATATTCCACAACCAGCACCACCATATCTGCAGAGAGGAAGGGAAGTGAACTTTCTTTAGCGCAGTCATTATAATTAAAGTGTTTAAGGTTTTTTGTGGTTGTTTCTATTTACATTGTTGAAGTCATTTTGGATATTATTAGTTCTTCATATTTTACTCTGCATTAATTCACAAATCATTACCATATTTCTGTGAATATTTTATACTCATCATTTCTTAACAGTACAATTCTGTTCCATTTTTCTATACTACAGTTTGCTCAGTTATTACCTAGACAATGGACACCTACTTTGTTTTCAGGGGTTTTTGTTGTTTTGCTACCACGAAGTGATGGCACCTTTGACAAGTCTCAGAAGGCTCTCTGCCACGTAATGGAGATGTTGCCTAAGAAAAGAGCACGCCCTTCTGTTATTTGTGCATATTTGCGTCACTTCAACAATGTTGGCCTCACCACTACCCCAGCAGGGAACCTCCAACCAGCCCCACTCTACGCTTCAATAAACCATTATTGGATGACCTTTTTCCTAGTAGCCTTGTACATTAGATATGATTTATAGATAAAGGAAAAAAAACTGAAACCCAGCATTCTTTCAACTGCTGTATGCTGCCAAGGAATTTTCTTCCTAGCTTCTTAAATTGGAAACTGTTTGAGATAACACTGAAAATGCCCTACAAATGGGAGCTGCCTTTGGCATTTTACTAGAGACTCAACTATTAGGCAGGTAACTTTAAGAGAAAATGACAAAGAATAACTTCCCATACTTAAGGGATCCCTCCACCAATTTTTCCATTTAAGTGATTGAGTTGTTTAGGAACATATCAGGGAGTTAGCAGATTTGGGGAGAGGTTAAAGTTTATGGTTTTTTGGTAAGCTTATTAGACAGGATCCTGTTAACTAATTTTAAACCTTTTTAACTTGGCAGTTGTATCATGTGTCTATAATTTTGCTTTATTTTAAACCTTCCCTTAATTTTTTTTTTTTGGTGAGGCAGCTGGGGTTAAGTGACTTGCCTAAAGTCACACAGCTAGTAAGTGTTATGTGTCTGAGGCTGGATTTGAACTCGGGTCCTCCTGACTCCAGGGCCAGTGCTATATCCACTGTGCCATGTAGCTTCCCCCACTAATTTTTTTTAGTAAAGCTTTTTGTCACTGTCATTGCCTCAGTTGAATTAAAGCAAAGAACACTGATCAATTCCTGGCCCAAAGATTCAGGAAGAATGTTTTATTTTTCCTCAAGGATTAGGTTCAATAAAAACCCTTTTGGAAGCAGGCTAGGGAACCTAACATTGCAAGTTGTTCTACAGTGGCCTCCCAGAGGCATTTTACCATAAGAATTTTTTTAAAAAAATAGATTTTAATTGACATCTTTTATTTTTACTTCACCTATATTTCTCCTTATAAGTCTTCTTCCCCTTTCCTAGAGAGCTATCCCTTTTGACAAAAGTTTTAAAAATAAAGTGGAGGAAGAGAAAAAAATTTCATTAAAATGATCGACACATTGGAAAAATTTGACATGCATAACATCTCACTTCTCTGGACCCCAACCTTTGAAAAATAAGAGGGGAGGTGGCTTCACATAGCTCTTCTTTGGGGCCAGGCTGGTTCCTAATAATTTCATAACAAATTTTTCTTCCCTTGTGGTCGTTATTCTTTCCATTTTGAAACTGTTGTATGTAGCCTTTACATGTACTGTTTTCTTGGCTCTGCTTACTTCATTTTCCATCAGCTCATGCAAGTCTTCATGTTTTCTATAGCATAGTAATACGCTGTTGTATTCATATACCACAACTTGTTTAGCCTTCTCCAGTTGATACTTTGTTTTCAATTCTTTCCTACCACAAAAAAAAAGTGCTGCAATAAATATTTTTATTTATGTGGGGCTTTTCTTCTTACCAGTGACCTTCTTGAAGGATATGATTAACAGTAGAATCCCTGAGTCAAAGGGTATTGACATTTTTGTCCCTTATTATCATTAGATGCTTATTAGTCACTAGTTATTCCAAATTGCTTTCCAGAATGGTGATATTAGTTCATAACTCCACATGTGCCTATCTCTCTACAACCTCTCCAACATTGATTATGCTGAATTTTTGTTATCTTTCCCAATTTTAGTGGAGATTATTTTGATTTTCTTCTCTTTTTAGAAGTTTAGAACATTCTTTCATTTTGCTGTTAATAGCTTGCAATTCCTTTGAGAACCATTTGTTATCATCCTTGACCACATGTCTACTGGTAATGGCTTTGGGGCTTATATAGTACTATTTTATCTTATTTTAAAATTGATCTGGTGTCAGTTCAGCAATATTGATAAAGCAGAAAAATTTAACTTCAGCTAACCTGAGTTAGATCCATATTTTTAACTTTAAACAAATCAGAACCAAGTTGCTAAATACATTCAGTGTCCTGCTTAATTGAGAAGTGTATAAAAATAGAAATTGGAAAGATAAAAGTAAGTTATCCAATCTCACCAGTCACCACTTACATTCTGAAAGGAAGAGATTTTTCATATTTAAATGCATATTTCTCTGGAAGCCAATGAAACAAACCACTTGAAAATAGTTAATGTGCATGAACTGATATCACTTCACTTTTTTGTGAGGAGGATTTTCATGGTAAATTTACTCTTTTGTTTTGCTTTCCTTAACTTTAGGAGGCTTGTTTGAATATGTTACTGCAGCCAATTTCTCTGGAGAGGTGATAGAATGGTATGGATATGCTCTTGCAAGTTGGTCCTTTGAAGGCATTGCATTTGCACTGTTTACAACTTGTATTTTAAGCTCCAGAGCAAAACAACATCACAGGTAATATTTTATTTTAATATTAATAACTCTATGTGCTTATTTTCTTTTGTCTTAATTACAAAAGCTGGGATAACAGTCATGATTTTTCAGGCAAGGCTACAGTAAAAATAAACTTGATATGAAGAAATAAGCAGAGAAACTGCATTATGCATAAAGGTACCATAGCTTATACATCAATGTCAGTACTTAACATATATGCACCAAACAATATATCTTCTAAATATTTAAAAGAAAAGTTAATTGAGGGAGAAATAAACAGTGCATCTGTAATAGTAAGGGACCTCTATATATCCCTTTCATACCTAGACAAATTTAACAAAAAGATAAACAAGAAGACCTTGAATAGAACTTCAAAACATATTGAAATGAGAGATCTTTGATGATTACTGAATGGAAAGAGCAAGGCATTTGCATACCTTTGAGCTGTGCACGCCACCTTTACAAAAATTGACCATGTGTATTGAGGTATAAAAACTTTACAAATGAATGTAGAAACACAAATACTAAATGCTTCTTTACGCAAACACAATAAAATAAAAATTATCTTAAAGGGCCTTTGCAGAAAGAAGAAATTAATTGGAGACTCAATAACTCAATCGTAAAAAATTGATGAGTCAATGAACAAAACATAGAAACTGTAGAAAATTCCATCAAAGACAACGGCACCAATTGAAAACATAGCAAAATTTATAGGATATAGCTAAAGCAGTCCTTAGGGGAAATATATATCTCTAAATATGTTCATCAACAAAAGAAAGATTAATTAATTGAGCATGTAGCAACAAAAACTAGAAAAACAACAAATCAAAAAACCCTTGGTTAAATACCAAATAAAAATTCTGAAAATCAAAGAAGCAATTAACAAAATTGGAAGGAAAAAAATAAAACAAATAACAAACAAAAACCTTTTAATTGATGAATAAAACTAGGTGCTAACTTTGAAAAACTAATAAAATAGATAAACTGTTAATTTGACTTAAAAAGAGCAGAGTAAAATGTTTTTTATCAAAAATGAAAAAGGAAGATTCACAATTGATGAAATAAAGGTGACTATCAGAAACTATTTTGCCCAATCATATGCCAACATAACTGATAATATAGATGAAATGGATGAATACTAACAAAAATATGACACTCCAGCTTACCAGAAGAAAAAAAATAGATTATTTAAAAAGTTCAGTGTCAGAAAAAGAAATTAGAAGGAAAAAAGAAAAGAAATTAGCAATATCAAAAATTTGAAAGTTGGACTCATGACCAATGAAGAAAAAGAAGAAATGATTAAGAGTGTTTTGCTTAGTGATATAACCATAAAAGTGACAATCTCAATGAAATGTATTAATGTTTACAAAAAATATAAAATGCCTGGATTACTGTAACAAGAAATAGAGGCCTTAATAGCCCAATTTAGAAAAAGAAATTGAACAGTCCATAAATGAACTCAAAGAAAGAAACCCAGTGACAGATGGATTTACAAATGAATTTTATTAAACATTTAAAGAATGATTAATTCCAATGCTATAGAAAAAAAAAAGAAAAGGGAGATTCATACCAAATTCTTTCTATGGTACAAATGTGGTCTTTATACCAAACCAAGGAGAGTTAAAACAGAAAGAAAAGCATAGACCAGCATCATAATGAATACTGATGCAAAAATTTTAAATAAGATACTTAAGCCAGGAGACCACAGCAACACATCGCAAAGATTATACACTATTACCTGGCCAGATTTATATCAAGATTGCAGCATTAGTTCAGTATTAGTTAAATTATAAACATAATTGGTCATATTAAGAACAAGAACAACAAAAATGTGATTTTATCAGTGGATTGAGAAACAGCTTTTAACAAGATGCAAAATTAATCTTGCTTAAAAAAAAACTCTACAATGCATAGGAATATACAGATCTTTCCTTAATATAAGTAGTATCTATCTAAAACTGAGAGCCAGCATTATCTGTAATGGGGGTAAGCTCGTGGCTTCCAATAAAATCAAAGGTGAAACAGGGTTGTCCATTATCATCATTATTATTCAAAACAGTGCTAGAAATTCTGGCTACAGCAATAAGACAAGAAAAAGAAATTAAGGATGTATGCGTAGGCAAAGAAAAAACAAAATGATAACTTTTGCAGATAATTTGATGGTTTGCTTAGAAAACTCTAAAGTCAACTTTAAAAAAAAAGTTAATTGAAACAATTAACTTCAGAAGCAAAGTTGCAGGATATAAAATAAACCCACATAAATTATCAACATTTCTGTATATTACCAACAGCCAAAATGGTCAACCACAGTTCCAGAGGAATCAAGATGAAACATATTACCCGCCTCCTAACAGAGGTGATGGACCTAGAGTACAGATATATTTGGACATGGCCAGTGGAGGAATTTGCTTTCTTGGCTATACATGTTTATAACAGGGGTTTCATTTTTCTTGTTTTTTCAATTGGGGAGGGGAAGGAAAGAATACCAATTTGAAATTTTAAAAAACTTTATCTTTAAAAATTTCTTTGACTTTTTTTTTCACAAACCTATCACTAGCTTCCTCTCTTACATCCCCACTCCTACTGAATAAAAAGGGGAAACAAAAACCTTTATAGTAAATATGCATAGTCAACAAAACAAATTCCTACGTTGCTCACAAGCCTGAAAATGTTTGTCACCTCTGTCAGGAGGTGTGGGTAGCATACAGGAATTATGGTTGGTCTGTGACTCTTTCCATTCCTTGTTTAGTTATGAACTTTTCCCTTACCTGTAGTTGTGAAAGGTATTTTCTTCCTTGCTTCTCTAATTTAGTCATGATGTGACCTTATATGTCTAAGTTAGGTCCATTGGAAGATGATTATGGCGTACAGTGTGAAATTTTGGCCTGTATCAAATTTCTGCCAAACTTCTTTCCAAGTTCCCAGTAGTTTGTGTCAAATTGTGTGCTCTTTTCTCAGTAGTTGAAGTCTTTGGGTTTATCTGTGCTACTATGTTCCTTTACATTCATAAATAACAGTTTATCTAATGCGTTCCACTGATCAACTTTTCTATTTTTTAGCTAGATCTATCATTTTAATAATTAAACAGCTTTATAGAAGGTTTCAGATCTAGTGTTTATAGACCTCTCCTTTCCACTTTCATACATACATACATACATACATACATACATACATACATACATATATATACACATACATATATGTATTTGTTACTATATGTTGTAGAAAGATAACAGACTTGATCTAAAGAAAAACTTTGTAATAGTTAGTGCTTTCCAAAAAGGGAATGGGTGTATTTGGGAGTGAGTAGTTTTTCCCTCATTGGACATCTGCAGGCCGAGGCTGGATGCCCACTCTCTTGAGGGCATTCTCGTTCAAATATAAGTTTGAGTTAGATTGCCTCTGAGGTCTCTTCCAACTATGAAATTCTGTGATTCTGTGTCATTCTGTTTTGTGGTCATCCTTTGTTTTTGTGTGTCATCCCTAACTTTCTATAATCGAGTTGGATATCCCTTCCACAGCGGACTACATCCTAACTTTATGAGATGGTGAAGCAATCCTCTTTTCTCTCATTAGCTATAGGACAGTGACAGTCATAGCTCTTAGGTCTTTTGGTATTAAGTACTAGTCACCTTTCAGTATCCAAGAAAAAACTCTGCTCAAAAATGCAAATAAATGGTCCTAAATGTGCTTATGGAGGGAAGAAGTCAAAGCTGAGAATCTTTGCTCTATTTAAGAAGGGCTATTAATATAATAGCTCTTCCAGTACCCAAATGTTATTAACTCTATTTCCCTGAGGCTAAGCTTAACATCCTGTTTTGAAACATTTCAGATGCTTGTTTAACCTAAAAGCCACAACATGTTGTTTAATCATTTTCATCTTTTAGCACATAGTTATTTCTAATGTTTTTTGTGCTATATTTAGCGCCTCCAGAGGCGTCCTGGTATAGTGGATTAGGAGTGGGGCTTGGAGGTAAGAGGACCTAGGTCCAAGTCCTCCTTTAACACATACTGGTTGTGTGACCCTAGGAATGTTATTTAGTTTCTCAGTGTTCTAGGCTACATGTCAAACAAAAGGGCCACATGAGACCCACACTCCCCCAAATGCAGCCCAAACCAGATTGAAAAATGCTTAACAACATAGATAAAAATATAATGAAGTATAGATAATACATTTTAAAACTAAATCAGTGTGTGGCTGGCAGGATCCTTATATACAGAGGTCCTGTATATACTTAAGTTTAAATTAACTTTTTTTTCCCTTTCTTAAGGTGGTACCTGGAGAAATTTGAAGACTATCCAAAGTTGAGGAAAATCATAATTCCATTTATATATTAAGCACATCATCAGTGAAATTTTCTCCTATGTTCAACTTCAAGAGTGTGGATAATTTTCTCTGGGAAATATGTATAACTATCATTTTTTTCCCTGAATAATATTTCAAAGAATCTTTTAAGAAATTTTCCTGAGTAAATTTCCAGAAGTTTGAATACCATGTTCCTAGAACTGAATACAAAGGCTGCAATCTCAGGCTCTCTGAGTTCTAATTATTTCTGAGGACACTGGTTTTGCAAAGCTTGATGTTTTCACCTCACTTTGTGAACTCCTCAAGTGGAGGCACTGATTCTTGCCTTTCTTGTATAACCTGCTTAGAGATTAGAGTTAGCTGTGCTAACAGCTCCTGGCACATAGTAAGCACTTAATAAATATTTTCTGACTAGCTATGCCAGTGGTTTGGTCTTCATAGAGCAAATGGTTTCAAATAAAACATTTTTGCTTCCTGTTTTTTTTTCTATTTGCAACTACCAAATCTCAAACTATCCTACAAAGGAGTAATTTTCAAAACACTTCTATACTGGTTTAAAAAAATAGATCAAACATTGGAACAAATTAGGTACACAACATACAAAAGCAAACAAGCCCAGTAAGTAGTGTTTAATAAATCTTTTCATCCCTTTTTGAACTTGTTAATAGCTTCCCTCTTCCACTCTCTCAGCTGAGAACCTTGCTTCATATTTTATTTAAAAAAAAAATTGAGACAATTTGCCAAGAGCTCCCTTTTCTCCCCTCCTCATCTCAAATTACTCAGATACTTTTACCTTTGTCTCAGATAAAGAGATGGCTCTTCTCTTTGCCCAGACAAACCAAATCACGTGTACAAATGATCATATTCCATCCTGTCTTATCCAGCATATTGCCCTCCTCTATCAACTTCTTTCTCTTACTCTATTTCACTGTCCCCTTGCCTACCGGTTGCTTTTCTACGGCTTACAAAGATATCCATGTCTGCTTCATCTTCAAACAAACAAAAACAAAAACAAACCCTCATTAATCCAGCTCTCCTGTCTGGCTGTTATCCTTTGTCTTTCCTCTTTTGCATGGCTATCGCCATGGAGAAGGCCATCTGGAAACAGAGCGTTCCTCCACTTCTCCTCTCATATCTTCTTAACTGTCTGCATTCTGACTTCTGCCCTCATCGTTCACTTGAAACTGCTCCCTCCAAGGTTTCTAATGCTCTCTTAATTGCCAGATCTTTCCTTTTCCCAATCCTCATCCTTCTTAACCTCTTTGCAGCCTTTGACAATGTCAATCGCTCTCTTCTTGATGCTGTCTTCTCTTCATTTTATCCCAACGTTGCTCTCTCCTCGTTCTCCTCCTACTTGTCCGACACTCCAGTTTCCTTTGTGCTAAGTAACGCTTACTAACTGTGGGTGTCACCCAGTTGCTGTCCTGAGCCCTTTTCTCTTCTGCATTGTTTTATTTGATGATTTCCTCAGCTCCCATAGATTAAATTATCACCTCTACATAGTTGATTATGTTTGTCCAGCTCTGATCTCTCTCCTGACCTCTAATCTTGCATCTCTAACTAGCTATTAGACATCTTCAGCTGGATGCCCCATAGGCTTCCTAAATTCAGTATGTCCAAAAGTGAACTCATTATGTTTCCTTAAAACCCTCCCTTCCTCCTAGCTTTCCTATTACTGTGGAGAGTACCACTTTCTTCCCAGGTTCACAACCAGGTGTCATCCTCAATTCTCCGGTGAGGCTGAAAAGAGTCAAAAAGAAAGAAGGAAAGAAAGAGAGAGAGAGAGAGAGAGAGAGAAAAAAAATGCAGACCAGGGGGTAGCAAGTTATAAACAAGCTCCATTTATTGATCTAAGAGTTAGGGCTTTTATACCCCATTCGTGGGAACAGAATCAAGAGTGGAAAAAACCAAGTATCAACAATTAATTTTTCTCATGGTAACAGTAACTGGGGGGAGTATCCCCCCAGAGTCTTCTCCTCGCTTCCCGATTATCTTTCAAGGTTTATTGAAAAATCCTTCATCCTCTCAAGGGACAGACAGCACCTGGAAGAGGTCGGAGAGGCTATGTTCTGACCTAGAGGGCTCTTAGATAATGGACAGGAACAGGAACATCCTGACATGACCTTTATCCTCAAACCCATCAGTGCAAGCCCTCAGCAATCTCCCCCCTCTGACTGTTTAAGTTGAGAAGATGAAGGGATGAAAAAAATCTCACCTAAAGTATGGCGAGTGTATTTTAACAAGCAGGGAAGGAGGAAACAAAATTAATACAAAACATAGCCAAGGTAAAAAATGTAATAGCAAACTTAATACATTCTTAAAAGGATTAAGTTGATTAATCCAATCTAACAATTTGTTTGCAATATCTTTAGGATCAATACCATCAATACGAGAATCAGCAATTTCATGTTGTATTTTGGATAGCTGATTAATGTCCCAGGTGATATTGTCAGAGTGCCATGCACCTTGGAGCTTATTTAATATTTGTTCAATAGTTATATTAGTAAAGTTTGAATACATATATGGAGTTACACAAATGAATAGCGATAATCACATTTCAAATTGAAGTGTGTTTCTAGTTGTTGTTATGTTTACCTAATGCAATTACTGATTGTTCTAAAAGATCCAATTCTTGTTGCACCATAGTATCTACATAAATTTAATATTGTAAAATCGTAGGCCAATTGTTAGCATACTGAGCAGTTCAAACTTGTCAGTAATATACAAATTATGCAGTTTAAATTTTAGATTGAAGCACAATAGATAAAACAGTAGTAGATACAATAAAAGAAGCAATAATGATTGAACCAATAATAAGGAGACCAATAAATTGTTTTGATTGACTTAAGGAGGAAATAATAATTTTGGAGCATGTTTTCTAGAGTTCTGGAACTATTCATGTGAAATATTAGTAGGGAAAATAATAAATGATTATTGTTTTACCAAAAGTACAATATAGTCATTATGATCAATACATTGTTTGAGAGTACAATTGACACAAGTAACATTCCAATTCAAAAACAGTATTTGATTGAATAAAATTTACATATCCATTAGACAAATAGGTATTAACAAATGATGTAACAAAGAAAAGACATGATTCAATATTGTTACTAAATTTTGAAAAACATATAAGTGTCCTGGATGCTAGAGATCTGAGGGTAATCATAACATTGACTTGGTCCTGGAGATAGGGATCTTCTTGTCTTCCGAATATACAGGTGTTATTAGTATATATATAGTCCCAATTTGTCCATATTTGTGATAGGTTGCAACCAGTGCTGAGTATTCTGTACATTACACACTTGAGCAGAAAGTAAAGCTACTATTGCTAAAAATACAAGTTCAGGAGTCTTTTATCACTTGATGAGAGGGAGCTTTCACTTGACCTCTATGTGGGAAGGCAACTCGTTACTGTAGATTGGCTCCTTCTGTGCTTCCCCTGAATTCTCATACTTTGTATTCAAGCTGTGAGTTGTTATACATGCTCTGACATTTTTCTCCAGTATCAAGGCAGGTTTATCAAAGTTTTCTGAAAAATATATAAGCACACCCTCATCCCCTCATTAGTAATGTATCCAGTAATGGATCTGGGCCTCTGGATGTTTTTAGGCTGAGGTGTACTCATCTTTGTTAATATTTAGAAAATTAATAGCCAATTGTAAAAAATATAACCAATTATCAAAAATTAATAGCCAATTGTCAATAAGGGGCAATAGCCCAGATTCCCCCTTTTTTGTAAAAAATATTTTTTTAATATTTTTGTTTTTAATTATATAAAATATTGGTGATTAGAGAAATGTAATTAAAAGAATAAATAGAAGAAAATGTTTAGTAACACATGTAGGAGTATTACTTATTTTAATTTGTGTAAGTACACTCAATAGTTGTGAAGGCTTGTAAAATATAATTGATTACATGTTTTAATTGTTTCACTTGTTTGAAAAGTGGCAAAAATGAAAGAAGAAAAAATATCAATTATAACATGAAGAAAGCTTTTCAAAAGAAGGCATATAAGTTACATTCGATTGTCAATTATGTTTGGGAGAAAAGCCTTTTGATATATATATATATATATATATATATATATATATATATATATATATATGAAATAGGCTATTAATTTTTAAAAAATAATCATTATTCTTTATACAATGTTTGTAATACTGTAGGAGTTCATTTAAAAATAGTCCCAAAATATTTTCTTCTCAATAGTTAAGGTGGTTGTATTGGCAGAATATAATCAATAAAAAGGCTCAAAAAACTTAATAAAAGGTCAAGTGTTAGCAATTAATAACTTGTAAAAGTGTTGGGTAGAATTGTAATTAAGAATAATGATATTACTTTTCAGTAAAAAGTCTGGACAAATTAAAATGTACTTGTATATAGGCAATATAGATAAGGTAATAACATGAACAAAGTGAGTTTTGAGGTTGGTATAAAGGGGTATATAATTGTGTATTAGTAATATATTTTAACTTTGCAGTCTCTATATTTTGAGAGACATAAATAGATTATTTGCTAGTAGAAACAATATTGATAAGCTCAGCAAAATCCTGTTATATATTTGTATTTAACCCATTGGTAAACGCAGTGGGTGTTGAAGGAATGAGGTTAAATTTAACAATTTTTTGAAACACCCATGAATAATTAGTAAAAAGGGTTAATATTTTGAGAGATGGTTAGTGATTATCGATATCAATATGACCAGAAAAAATAATAACAGCAATTTGGCAACCTTTTAAAGAGGAAACAAGAGTGTCTGTTTATATTTTATTATAAAGTTGATGAATAACTGCAAATATATTTTCTGTAAATTAAAAATTGTAGAGGACACTGGAGTACTAAGAATAGCACCTTGTACTTCTATAAAGCAATATGGGTGAAATGAGTTTTAGGAGTTTTTCTGTTTGACTAATTAAAGCTCATATTTGCTTTAAGAGTTAATATGCTAGGGGACTTTAAATAAGGATCTTCTCTTAATGTAAAAAAGAAATTACACAAATGTTCTGTAGTAATTTGGAGTGGTGGTCGGAGCCAATTAATATGTTCTAGAAGTTTTTGAAAATCATTAAAATTAAATGCTGTTAAAGAATTAAGAGGTAAATGTACTTTTTGTGGTTTCACTGTTGTTTTGGTGACAATATGACCTAGGTAGGAGAATGAAGATTTTTCTTAAACTTTTTCCAGGGCTATAATAAGCCCAGAGTATTGTAAAGCTAATTAAAGCTGCAATAATAAATGTGTGAGTTCACTTTAGATGGAACAGCTACAAAATACGTCACCATATATCATTTTTAGCTTTTTGTAATGGAATAGTTAAAAAGCAATCTTTTAAATCAATAATTACCAAAGGCCAGGAAGTCATAAAGCATTGTCAGTTTTCCTGACTTCTTTTCAATAATAAAAACAGGTGAATTTTAAGGAAACCAAACAGATTTATTAGATTTCTTTTGTATTTTGTCAGTTTTATGTATAGGAAAAGCACAAACAGTGAGCAGGAGAAAATAACAGCTCTCATTAAATGTGAAATATTGTGCCCCACAAATTAAGGGGAATTAATTGAGTTTCAACAATGTTTATTCTACTAGTTTAAATTCATCTTAAAATAATTGATTAGTAGTGATCTATTAGGTAGGCTAAAGCTAATTAATATCTTTAAAAAGTCATTTGAAAATTATTAAAGTTATTAAGGAATCTTGACTAGTTTGTAGTATTTGTGTGGTCTAATTGTAGACTGAGAACCAATATGTCTAAAGTTTAAAGTAAGCAAAGGGTGATTTCTTTTATACCTTTTAAGGAGTAATTATAAATCTATGAGACTGAAAGGCTTGTTAAAACTTAGGCATTAATAAGGAGAGTTTGGTAGTAGTAGGATAACTGTAAAGTTTATCATCCATATAATAAATCACTTTTTTCTGGGAATATTTTTGCCTAACAGGTATAATAATTTTTATGAACAAAATTTTAGCCCCTGGTGGGAAACATTCTTTCTTAAAAGAACATAACAAGAAAACCTTAAATACTGATTTAATGGAGACAAATATACCCAAATTCAAACTTAAAACAAAAATTAATTATAGTCCTAAGAGTCTTTACCTCAAATAGTAAGTTTCACTAATTATGGCTTAAGGCCAAATACAGTTCATTTTATTTTCATGGAAGTATAATAAGCAGTAAAGATTTACTAGGACTCACATATATAAGAAATTTTACTTAACATCCTTTCTTTCCCAAATTTAAACTTGTCTTGGTGAAAAAGCCAATTATTAGAAATCATTTATATAAAGTTGCAATTTCTCAGTAAGCTAAATGAATTGTTTAGGAACTCAATAACATAAACAAATTCTTCTCTCGGAGCAGACGACCTTGCTCAGAGAGCTGATTGCTAAGAGCCTTAGCAAACTTACAAAGTAAAGGGAATTGCCTTGTGCCCCTCCTTTTCACTCATAAGTAATTAAAAAGTCTAGGTTTTAACTTTAAAACAGTGACTTCAGGATAACTTAGTTAACAATTTGGTAATTTTCATAAATGATATTTAAATTGTTTTAGTTCTAAGTTGTTTGTTAATCATAGATACAGATGGGAATACCTGATTTTCTAATTGACAGTTATAGAATATTATAAAACAAGATTATCTGGACTTGATAAAATAATCTAGCTGGCTTTACACTGCTTTCCTACTATCTTTTAGTTCACATTTCAATAACATCCAAATTATTAAAAATTGGTTGACATAACACATAAAAGTTTACCAATTTGTAATGATACTAGATTTTTAAAACTTGAAACAAACATATTACTGATTTGAATGAACTAAATTATCTTTTGATTGTGTTCCAAATACTTAATCTGTTCTATTTCTCATTCTCTTTCTTCCCACCCCAACATGGCCAAGGCTGGGATGCAAGAGAAAGGAAGAGAATATTTTTCAACAACTTATCTTTGTACATTCAAAGCTTTTGGCCAGAGCTTTAGAATGCAAAAAGAAAGAATTTCTTCCTATCAGTTCTCTAAAAGTTTCCAAATCTTTTGGGTCTCAAACCCTCTGTTCACACTGTGCAAATAAATTATACCTTCCTTAAGCTTTCAACACATACTGCTCTCATCCCTACATGCCTAACCTTTCTTGTCTTCCTTCTACCTAATTATCCCTCTAATGGACTTTGATTAAAGTCCCTTTAAAACTGCACATATCTAACATCTTTCTAATTCTGACCTGACACTTTGAGGATCCTTCTCAACTTGCTTTTTATCAATGATATAACCTAAATAATGAAGTATTTTTTCTCCCATTCTCTCCCCCATTCAGAATCCAGTTTCAGCCCTTGGCAGCCTGGCAGTAAAGTATTAAACAAATTATAAACATTAATCACAGACCGTCATTCACACAGACACAGACAAACACAGAACAAAATGACAGGGAGAATCCAAAAGCGAGAAACTTGTCAGAAATCCCCTATACAAATCAAGTAATACTATTTTTATTTTATTTTATCTTTTCTCTTCATGGTATTCAAAAACCAGGCAAAATCTTTCTTAAGGTTTTGATGTTTATAAGAGGCAAAGCAATCTGTAGTTTTATAGTGACTTATCCTGTCGCTTGAGCCTTTTTTACAGCTCAGGGCATGGAGAGTGTGGAGGGGGCGTCAACCAGCTGTCCAAAAGTGATTAATAATCCCCTATCTCTTATTAATGATTTTAATACTTGTAAATAATATTCTCGGTCTTTCTGCTTTGTTGATGAAACTTGTCCCGTTTTTACTACTTATATCTTCAAAACACACATACCAATCTGTTTTTCTAATTCCGCTTAACCTGGTGAATAAAACTACTTAGAAAGAATCTACTGCCCTTACCTTGTTTGCCGTCTTTTTTCAAATGGCAGGAATCTCCTCTTTTCCCTTCCGGTGATCCTTTTGCTGTCTTTTTTCAAACAACGGGAGTCGCTACTTTCCGGCGACCCCTTTCCCATCTTGTTTCAAACGGGTGGAGCGCTCCTCATCAGAGCTGCTGGCCGCAGGCAGCCCACCTTGGTCAAACCATTCTTTCAGGCTCCCAATTGCCCCACGTTGGGCGCCACCTGTAGAAGACTTCTGCGTCCACTATGAAGTTTAATCTCTGGTGAGGCTGAAAAGAGTGAAAAAGAAAGAAGGAGAGAAAGAGAGAGAGAAAGGGAGAGAGAAAAAAAATGCGGACCAGGGGGTAGCAAGTTATAAACAAGCTCTGTTTATTGATCTAAGAGTTAGGGCTTTTATACCCCATTCGTGGGAACAGAATCAAGAGTGGAAAAAACCAAATATCAACAATTAATTTTTCTCATGGTAACAGTAACTGGGGGGAGTATCCCCCCGGAGTCGTCTCCTCGCTTCCCAATTATCTTTCAAGGTTTATTGAAAAATCCTTCATCCTCTCAAGGGACAGACAGCACCTGGAAGAGGTCGGAGAGGCTATGTTCTGACCTAGAGGGCTCTTAGATAATGGACAGGAACAGGAACATCCTGACATGACCTTTATCCTCAAACCCATCAGTGCAAGCCCTCAACACCCTTTGACCCAACCAAAACTCTGCTAGGCCTGCACCCAAAAGAGAACAAAGAAAGAGGAAAAGGACTTGTGTATACAAAAATACATTATACCCTTTTTATGGTGGCAAAAAAAAAACTAAACTAAAAAAAAACTGAACAAATTATGGCATATGAATTTAATGGTGTACTATCGTGCTGTACGAAATGAGGAAATAAATTAATTCAAAGAGTCATGACAGTATTTGTATAAACTGTATAAATTTGTATAAACTGTTGAGTGAAGTGACCAGGACTGGAAGGAAAATTGATACTATAACATTAGTTTTATAAAAATGAAGAATTCTGAAGACTTGTCTAACCTGATGAAGAATTAAATGAGGCAAACCTGGAGAACAATTTGTACAATAACAACACCACTATACAAACAAACATCTTTGAAAGCGATAAGAACAGCAATCAATGAAATGGCTTCCATAATTTCAGAGGACTGATAATAAAGCTTGCTATCTACATCCTGATAGAGAAGTAATACATTTAGGGTGAAGAATGAAACATGTATTTTTTGAAAATAGCTAATGAAGAAATTTGTTTTGTTTGACTGTACATATTTGTTAAAAAAGGAATTTGTTTTCTTTTTTTCATAGGAGCCAAGGGATAGGAAGGAGAAAAAGTTGATTTCTGAAATAAAATATTAAATTTAAATAATACAGTTTCCATTGATTTCTTATTTGCCAAATATTTTGGCTTTTTCTCAGTTCTCACCTTTTTTTTTTTAAGCCTTTCTGTTTATTTTGTTTTTGGCTAGGCAGTGGGGTTAAGTGACTTGCCCAGGGTCACACAGCTAATGAGTGTTATGTGTCTTAGACCAGATTTGAACTCAAGTCCTCCTGACTTCAGAGCTGGTGCTCTATCCGTTGTGCCACCTAGCTGCCCCCTTTTAAACCTTTCTGCAGCATTTGATACTGTTGATCTCTGTCTCCTCCTGAATACTCTCTCTGGGTTTTTATGACACTGTTAGATAGGTTCTTACCTGTCTAACTACTTCTAAGTTCTCTTTTTATTGGATTATCCTCTATATCTGGACCTATCAGGGTGCATCCACAAGGCTCTGTAAGGCTCTGTCCTGGCCCCTCTCCTCTATTCTCTCTTTCAGTGAATTCATCAACTCCTATAGATTTAAGTATCTCTCTGTACAGATGACTTCTAGCTCTGTATATCCAGCCCTGTTCTTTCTCCTGAACTGGTTTAGCTCTATATTGCCAAATGTCTGGATGTCCACAGGAATTTTTAAAACTCAGCATATCTCAAACAGAAGTTACTCTTTCTCTCCAAACTTGCCCTCCTTCTGAACTTTCTTATTGAGGACACCTCAGTCCTTCTATTCTCTCAGGTTTGCAAGCTGAAAGTTATCCTTGACTCCACATCCTCCCTCACTACATGTACCCAATCAGTTGCTAAGTCTTCCGGATTCTCTTTCCACAACATGTCACATTTCATCCCCATACTCATAGCCACCATCTGGATTCAGTCCCTCATAGCCTTTCACATGTACGATTTCTGTAGCATCTTGATTGATCTCGTGTCTCCAGTCCCTCCCCAGCCCAACCCATCCTCCACACAGCTGCCAAAGTTATTTTCCAGAATTATGTGCCTGACTGTGTCACACCCCATTCAAACTCCCGTGGTTCCTCCTGCTTCTAGGATGAAATACAAACTCTTGTTTGGCACATAAATCACTTTACAACCTGGGTTCCTGCCTACCTTCGAAGGCTTAGCCAGGGGTGGGGAACCTGTGGCCTTGAGGCCTCACGTGGCCTTCTAAGTGCTTGGTTGCGGCCATTTGACTGAGTTGAAGTTTAACAGAACAAATCCTATTATTGAGGATTATTATTATTATATATTGTTAAATCCTATTATTAATCCTATTATGTTATTTATAAAAATACAAGTAATTCCCCAATTGATAAATGGTCAAAGGATATGAACAGGCAGTTTTCAGAGGAAGAAACTAAAACTGTCTATAGTCATATGAAAAAAATGTTCTAAATCACTATTGATTAGAGAAATGCAAATCAAAATGACTCTGAGGTACCATATCACACCTATCAGACTGGCTAATGTGACAAAACAGGACAATGATAAATGTTGGAGAGTATGTGGGAAAATTGAAACACTAATGCATTGTTGGTGGAGTTGTTAAATGATCCAAACATTTTGGAGAGCAATTTGGAACTATGCCCAAAGGGCTATAAAATTGTGCATACCCTTTGACCCAGCAATAGCACTTCTAGGTCTATATCCCAAAGAGATCATAAAAATGAGAAAAGGACCCACATATACAAAAATATTTATAGCACCTCTTTCTATGATGGCAAAGAATTGGAAATTGAGGGGATACCCGTCAATTGGGGAATGGTTAAACAAATTGTGGTATATGAATGTAATGGAATACTATTATGCTATAGGAAATGATGAGCAAGCAGACTTCAAAAAAAACTGTAAAGACTTGTACGTTTTGATGCTGAGTGAAGTGAGCAGAACCAGGAGAACACTGTACATAGTAACAGGCATGTTGTGCAATGACTAACTTTGATAGACTTAGCCCTTCTCAGCAATGCAAGGATCTAAGACATCTCCAAAAGTCTCATGAAGGAAAATACTATCCACGTCCAGTGAAAGAACTATAGCGTCTGAATGCAGATGGAAGCATACTATTTGCTCTCCTTTTCCTTTGTTGTTTTGTTTTATTGCATCATTCTCATGGTTCCTCCCATTAGTTCTAATTGTTCTTTACATCATGACTAATGGGAAAATATGCTTGATATGAATCTTAAAGCAGAGCCTATATCAGATTGCATAACATCTTGGGGTGGAGGGAGGGAGAGAGGAATGGGAGGGGGAGAAAATTTAAAACTCAAAATATAATGGAAGTAAATGTTGAAAACTAAAACTAAAATAAATAATTTTAAAAAGAGGATTTGCTATGTGAAGTTTGGATTCAGTCAGAGGGCTGCATTTGAGGACCTAGAGGGCCACATGTGACTTTGAGGCAACTGGTTCTTCACCCCTGCCTTAGACATTACTCCCATCTGTGCATACTATGTTCCAGCCAAACTGGCCTTCTTGCTGTTCCTCACAATAAGGCTCTGTCACTAATCTCCAGGCCTTAACACAGGCTATTGTCCCCCATCCCTGGAATGTGCTTTCTCCTAATTTATTTCAAAGCTCAGCTCAAGTGACACCATTTACATGAGGCCTTTCTTGATACTCATATTGCCAATGCCACACACCACCCCCCATTACCTTTTACTTATTTTGCATATGATTATGTGTATATATGAAAGATCATAGATTTAGTGCTAGAAGGGACCTCAGAGACAATCTTAATACAACTCATTCATTTTATGGAAAAACGGAGACCCAAGGACCCTGCTTGAGGGCAGGGATTATTTTCTTTTTCTTCATATCTTTAGCCCCAAGTACAATGACTAGCACTTGACATTTAATAAATCCCCTACCCACCTGGCTTTTCTCCCATGGACCTTTGATTTCGTTGGTATAGGGAATTTCTAGCCAATACAAATTGGCATCTGCTTTAACAAGTTGTAGCCTAAAGGATTTCCTGGGGTATTCAGAGATTAATTGACTTTTGGGGTTGAGGGTGAGGGGGTCAAACAGCTAGTATGAGTCAAAGACTCAACTTCATCCTAGGTCTTTCTGACTTAGAGGTCAGCTCTCTATTCATTGTATCATACTGCATCATCTCAATAAATGCTTATTAAATTAAATTGAACTTATATTTGAAATTATTAATGATCACTTATGCCTTTTATGTTTTCATATAACTTAACAAATGTTCAATAGCACTATATACCTGTCCATAAGCCATCCTTCCCTCTTTCTCCTCCTTTCCCACAATCAATTTTTCTTTAACATGACGAATCTTATTTTTTTCAAATAGGCGTGCGTCATCATTTAGTCATACCAAATCTGAATTTCTCTTGTTTTAGTTTTTCCCATTACAGAGTTCCTTTTACCAAATGCTTTGCCATGAAATTAATTTGCCTTTTATTCCCTGGAGGAATTCTGGCCAAACTTTTAAGTTGGAGTCAAATGGAGAATAAAACTTTGGATTTATAAAACAGCTTTTACCAAAGAGTTCAGAAAGAAATAAGTGAAACTCTATTCGCTTTGGGATTCAGATTTAAGATATTATTTGTTAACTGAGTCATAAATGTCATAGAATGCTGACTAGGAAAGTTTAACTTTGCATAACTAATAAACACCTCAGTTTACTTTTTGACATTTTTATTCACATTTTTGTTTTCATATCACCTTCAGTTCCAAAAATATCAGCGAGCTATCCCTTTTCAACAAAAATAAATAAAAAGAGGGGGAAAGCAGTTTAGTAAAACTAGTGAATTTATCAATTCAGCCAAATATGTAATATTGCACACTCATAGTTCCCCGTGTCTGCAAAGAAAAGAGGTGAGTGTTCTCATCTCTTTTCTGGAACCCAGTTTGGTCAGTATAATTACACGGCCTTCAGTTTTGTTGTTATTCAGTTGTTTCGGTTGTGTCTGACTCTTTATGACCACATTTGGGGTTTTCTTTATAAAGATACTGGAGTGGTTTGCCATTTCCTTCTACTGCTCATTTTACAGATCAGGAAACTGAAGCAAACAAGATTAAATGACTCGCCCTGGATCACACAACTCAGGCTTCAAGTGATTTTTGACTTGCTCACAGCATTTCATAATCAAGACTCAGACCAAGCTTTTTTTATACCAAAGCCCAGTGTCCTTTCCACTACACCAATTTTACCTTCCCCTATATAGAATTCCTGTTGGAAAAAAAATTAATTTAATAGTTTTGCTGTTAATATTTGTATTTTATTTATGAATTATCCTTTCAGTCATTCAGTCCTAAAATTCAGATGTTACTTTCCAAACCCTGAAGTGTGTGGTCCTAGCAGTTACCCTATTTTCTTAACATTTATTTTATTTTTTTAATTAACAAAAATAAATTTTTTACCCTCACATTCCTCTCCCCTTTAAAAAATAAAAACAAAACCCTTTTAAGAAGTACTTATTATCAAGAAAAACAAATTCCCTTAATGACTGTGAAAAAAAAAATCACATTATGTACCCAGACTCCATCATTTCTCTATTGCCCTATTTTTCCAAAGTGATTTTAAAAATTATATTTTACTCTCTGAAGCTTATATTTAAAGATGTTCATACCAAAGAATGTTTTCCAAGTTTGAAGCACTTGAGGTTTTGTATTAATCTAATACTCTAAAAACCAAAAAAATAAAATCCTTAGAGCCAGTATGGACTGGGCTCTTAAGTAGCAAGTCTAATAAAAGCCTCTTTATGTAAGAAGATGGGCTAATTCTTGAGTTACCCCTGCAAATGTCACATCACAACTTCCACTGACATAATTCCTGCTTTTTAGGGGTTTTTTTGTGGTCCCTGTTTTTTCATCATGAATTTGTTTTCATGGAGGCCAGTTGAGTTGTGGAATGTGCCAGGTGGAATATATTTCTTTTATCAACCTAATTGTTGTTCAGTCATTCAGTTGTGTCCGACTCTTCATGACCCTGTAATGGGGAATTCTTGGCAAAGATACTGGATTAGTTTGTCATTTCCTT